TCGTTGTCGTCAAAAAATGACGTCATCAACAATATCACCTCATATTTGTTTATACACGGGGGTTAGTTTAGTGTCTTACTCAAGATTTTAAAACGCAACCAACCCCCTTCGGAAGGTTGGTAAAGTGTTTAAATCCCCCATTCGGGGGGGGGGGGTAGTTTTGTTTCTTACTCAGGGGTTAAAAAAACACTTGAATGAAACACTAAACTAACTCCCCTTTGGGACTAACCAAGGTTGGTTGCGTTTTACAAATTTGAACAATCCTCCCTAGGAGCTCCGAGCCCTGCTCTAGTAGCTATAAAATTTGTGAATTCTTGCTGCCATGCAGTTTTTAATTTTTTGTCTTCCTGTCACTGGACAATGATTAGAACATACAGAACAGTAATTTTACCTGTTATTTTAATAGGTGTGAAAACTTTGACAGGGAACAATACAGATTTAGTGTGCTGATGAGATTCTGAGAGAGAAAGTTATGTGAGGCTGAAGAAAACTGTAATGAAGAGCTCCATAATTTGTACTGTTTACCATGTAATATTAGAATGGTCAAATCAAGGAGAGTTGGATGGAATGTGGTGTGAATGGAGAAATTATAAATATGCACAGAATTCTGGTTTTACACTCTGAATGTAAGAGACCAAACACCTGGGCATTGCAGGAAGACTTCCTTCCTGCAGCACATCATCTAGATGTATTGATGTAGAATGAGGTAGGAGAGGAAGCTGATAACACTGAAGTTATAATGTGTAGGCCCTACACTGTAGGGGAATTGACTAGATGAGTTGTACTCATTGAGGAAATTTATTGTGTATCCCACCCCCAATAAATCAAACTGACAGTTGAATGGTAAGTTCATAGAGTACATATTTACATGATGCTATTTTGTGCTGGGAAACAAACGATTCCCGATCTCTTCTGTTAAATGTGTAATGGACGGGATGTTTCAGAACTCTAACAAATATTCTGCACATTTTATTCCATTTAAGTATTTTTTCAGCACTTAGGGCCTAAAATAATTTAGTTGTGTTAAAGGAATCATGCGTTTCCTCTCTTTTGCATGTTCTAAGTTTTATTTAAATTATAATGTTTGTTATGCTATGTAGTGTGGTCCATACGTGTTATTGAGTTTGTGAACACGGTCACTTGAAGTGGATCAAAAATGGTGGATTATAGCAAGTGGAAGGATATTGAGGTAAGATTAAATTTATATATATATTTTTAGTTATATTGTTTTTAATTGTTATGTGAAGATGTTCCAGCGTGCACTAGTGTAAATTTCTATGAGGCAGTATGATGTGTTGTTTAAAGTACGTCATACCGATTAAAAGAACTGAAGACGCCAAGCTCTTGAAATTGAGGCTCGTTATAAATAGTTTATTGGGTGCAGAGGAAAGTCAACATATATTACATTTTTCAATAAATTGTATTAAGAAGGGAAATAGGAAAGGTGCTGATGTTTAAAATGTCATAAATGGGGCTGCTGATAGTGGAACAAAACCATAAATTGAGGAATTATTACTGACAGTGTCATTTGCGTCAATAAAGAAAATTGCAGTTGCTCCATTTAAATAGTTGAATTATACAGATTCAACATTATCGCCCGAATGTGTATATGAATAATTTTCAGTCACTACGTTAATTATTAAACGTTCCATCCCAGTTCCACGAATATTTAACCTGTCATGAAGCCTATTCATACTTGTTTCCTCTGAAACATTTTTCTAATTAGGTTTTTCTTATCACACATTAATTCACTGGGTGTAGGGTTGTATAGGGAGGCAAGCTTATAGTTACATGGTCATAGATAATGGAAATCTGTTTTGCGGATGTAGAATTTTTGTGATGGCTGTAGTTCTCGGTAAAGTCATGCAAGACTTTTTCTCCTTTAAATGCCAGTCAAGCATCCATTTGTCTGCAAGTGATGCATCATGTCTTTATTTATTGACATTTGCTAGGAGGTTTGTGGTGTGATAAGGTACATTGCCCATGACTACAAGTTGGGAATGACTTGATATGTCCTTTAATGCAGTGTGGACAAATGAGCCTGTTGCATCCAATAAGAAGCACTAACATCGGTCATCCCTCCAGTTCCACATCTTTGCCAGCATTTTTGTAAGGCCAAATTGCTGTCCAACTAAGTTTAATCTAGTAAAATAATATTATTTTTATCATGCCTTGCCCATCGTAAGTATCTACACTTCCATTTAATATCTCATCTTTCAATAAATATGTTCCTCTTGCTAACATAGTGTTTCCAAATAAAACCCTTTTCATTGAAAACTATTTTTTGCAGCAAGCAATTTCTTCGTTATGGTGTCTGTTAACTCTCAGTTCTCCCAGTGTGTACAAAGCCGGGTGGTTGCCACTGATTTTATGACAGTTTTTGTAAAAATGGTTGAAATTGTGTTAATCACCAATAATGTAACTTCTGATGAACAGTTCTCATGAAACATGCAAGTTATTTCCATGTTCATTGGAGAACAAAAACTAGGACAGCAGCTGCCACTACATGTTTATGAAGGAAAATAAAAGCTTAAACTGATAAGGATATCAGTATTGGTCAAGGGTTGTAATTACCTGTGGAATTACACTATATGATAGCCAAGAGTTTGGAGGATACATTGATTCAATGAAATTCTTATATGAAAATTAATGTTACTTGGTGATGGCACAGAAGGGGAGGGAGCAAACGTTTTACATGGCATAAGCTCACAAAATTAAAATAGAGGTAAAGTAATGTAAACCTCAGAAAAATGTATTGTAAGAAACTGGAATTAAGATATTGTATTTTAAAAAACATGCTGAGTAACATAAGCCTAGGATATTTCTTATTATAAACTCTGATTTCATAGATTTCTGATGATGAGGATGAAACTCATCCAAACATTGACACTCCCTCGCTGTTTCGTTGGCGACACCAGGCTAGAATTGAACGAATGGAAGAACAAAAAAGGGAGAAAGAAGAATTTGATAATGAAAAGTCAAGGTAAATAATTATACCCTCACAAAATTTTGGATGGTGAAATTTTGTTATGTGTCATTAGCCATACTGCTTTTTAGTCAGCACACTAATAATAAGAATTGAATTATTGTTATTATTTATAGAGCATGTTTTGTGAAAATGTGATTTTTTACAGCTCAACTCATATATGGTACCTAGATAACTTGCAAGGACATTAACTTTGTATGTGTGCTATACTTATGCAGGTGTAACATTGAATGTTCATTAAGTATATTGTAATTTGTTTTGCAGTCTTGAAAAGAAGTTAAAAGAAACAAAACAGAAGTTGTCAGAAGCTGAAAAAGATGGAGCAGACTTGTCTGAACTGAAAGCAGTTCTGCAAGAACTTCAGCAAGAGTCAGAGAAAATTAAACATAAAGAGGAAGAAATTAAAAAGAAGGAAAAGGTTTGCTTATACAGTAACATGTTTTGTGTACTGAAGTTCATTTTATACACATACACAAGAGTATAAATACTTATTTTTCCATAGATGTAGAAAATCTGGAAGCAATATTCAGTGTTGTCTAGAAAGTGAAGGTACTGCCTGACAAGTAACTGTTCTCTTTGAATGTATTGTTCATATTATATGCATGTTTATTGTTTATGCTCCTCATTTGTAAAGGTTTGTTAAGATCATTGGGTCTTTTGTTCAGAGATATACATCCTTATTGTGAGTCATGTGATAGTAAAACCAGTTTCACACCATGAAGTATATATCATCCTTCTATTTGTTTTATAATAAGTGATTAATGGGGTTTGCAGTTCAAGAGTAAGCACATTTCCATTATAAATCTACATGCTTCATATTTATCTTGGTATACAACATAACTGAAATGGTACTGTAAAGCACGCCCTCACCGTTTGTAGGGGTCATGTTCTCGAAAACCACCATGCATGGTGAAACTATGATGCACAAAGTTAAGGCCTTATGGGGAAAAATGGGGTTTGGGGAACCAAAGCCACATGAAACATGACTTTTTATATGTATAATTAATAAACATGAAAACATTAGTTTTCATGTTTATTGGAATGATGGCATTCTTAGCTCATAGTTGTCAGGTGATTGAACACAAAGGCAACCATCAGTTCTAAAATGTGCAATTGCAGTAACCACAGTATGGCACAATATTTGTATAGCTACTGAGACAGGCAAGCAGATCTGGACTGTTTGTGTTACTCCACGTTTGTGCTCAAGAACAACCACAGAAGAGCGAGGGACCTACACTGTGATACACAAATATTGCCACAGTTTTTCCATGAATAAGCAAAACTACAGTGCACAAGCACACAAACAAGGAGAATCTGCTGTAACATAGTTTTTCAGATTTATGATAATGTTGGTTCTGATGTTATTTAACAGGTAACACCATGGAATGTAGATACAATCAGTAAATCAGGCTTCACAAAAACTGTCATCAATACTCTGCCTTGTGAGGAAGATGACGATCTGACAGAGGAGCAGCGGGAACAGCGGATGAGAAAATTTGTCAAAGAAAATGAGAAAGTTTTAAAAAAATTTGGGATGCTGCGGCGCTATGATGATAGCAAACGATTTCTCAATGAAAACCAGCATCTTGTTTGTGAAGATACAGCTAACTACCTAGTAATATGGTGCATTAACTTGGAAATGGAAGAGGTATTTTTTATTTTTATCCCTTCCCCAATTTGAGTGCTCAGTAGCAGTAAGAAACCTAATTGTTTTAAAAAAATGTCTGTAGTCATTGATTCTGAGAAGTTGGAAGATAATACTAATTTGGAGTTTGATCTTGTTGAGTACATTTTCATATGTCAGATTGAAGGTGTTTTTAAGGGTACACTGATGTGAAGGATCCTTGACTCCAAAATATGATTCACAGTGCAGTCATTACATTCTGTACTTTCAAACATTTGTAACATTCAGTGATTTTGTTAAGTACAGTTCTTTTGCAGCAGCAGAAGCTGTGTTAATGAATTGGCTAGTCTTGCAAGAGAATTATAAATTATGTAACCACCAACATCTCTCACATATTGCACTTAACCATGGGCAAAAATTTAATATTATTTTGAGTTTTTAAAGTATAAACAATTGCTGCTTCATTCATCTCTTAATTTCTTTGTATTGGACTGTAATTTGGTAAAATGTATTCTTATAAAGTGTGTTCTGTTCTTGGTTTACAGAAACATGATCTTATGGAGCATGTAGCACATCAATGTATATGTATGCAGTACATTCTGGAATTATCAAAGCAGCTGGATGTAGATCCTCGAGCTTGTTTCTCTTCGTTTTTTACTAGGTGTGGTAAAGTATGTGAGTAGGATGTCTTGGTCATAGTGTCTGACAGTAGACTGGGCATCATCATCATCCATTGCTATTTCCAGCCTGGGGCTGGGTCTGCCTGGTAAAGCCCCTCCATCTCTTCCTGTCCCTCCACCACTCCTCTTCCACCAACTGCCACTGGGCACCTCTCTCCATCACTCCTCATTTTATCTGCTCCTCCCACCTTCTTCGTGGTCTTCCCCTTGGTCTTGTGCCAGTCACTCTCATATCCAACATTTGTCGTGCTATCCACCCTTCTCCAATTAGCTTCACGTGTCCATACCACTTCATTTTTGCTTCTTCCACTCTCTACCAGACCCCTCACATCCATTCGTTTCCTAGCTTCCTCATTCCGTACTCTATCTCTCCTTGTTATGCCCAATGCACTCCTCAAAAACTTCATACCCATTGTTTCCACCTTCTGTATTTCCCAATGTCCAAGTTTCTGCTGCATATGTAACAATTGGTACAAGGTACACCTCATATAGCAATCTAGACTGGGCATCTGGGATTTAATCTGTGGCAGGAGCGAAGGATTTTTCTTCTAGCCTCTGCATCCAGATTACTCTGGGTCCCACCCAGCCTCCTATCCAGTGGGTACTAGGATTTCTCCCTTGGGGGTAAAGTGCAGCCAGGTTGCGACACTGACCACTCACCAAGGATATAAAACTTCCTTAAAAATAACTCCATGGAGCATAATCATTCAGAAGCTAAAAGTTACACAACTGGTCAAGAAATTTATCTCTTATATAATTCATTACTGTCTTCACAAGAGCCTGCAACTGGATCCTACCCTGGGCAAATAAATTCATTCAGATTCCTCACACACCATCCTTTTTACATTATCTTGTATGTTAAGGTCTTTCCCTTCAGTATTTTCAGACTAATGTAATATACATTTATCATTTCACATATGCCTACCTATCTCACCTAGTAATGTTTGTGAAGAGTGTAAATTATGTAGCACCTTATTATTTAGATGTACAAAATATCCCCAAATTTACAGTGGCATGCAGCTTCACATTTTTGGCTGATTATTGGAATGTCTGTGTCTGAAAGTAGCATATTACATTCTTTACAGGATTCAGGTAGCTGAAGCAGAATATAAAAAATCTTTTGATGATGAGTTACGTTCATTTAAAGAGCGAATTCGCAAAAGGTCAGCAGAGAAAGTACAGGAAGCAATGCGAGAAGCAGAGGAAGAAGAAAAGAAAGCTCGTCTTGGACCTGGAGGATTGGATCCAATTGAAGTATATGAATCATTACCTGAGGTGAGCAAGCTTGTATGTGACTGCAAGACAGGCCTAATTGGTCTCACCATTCCTACATTTGAATTAAGGTATTGTAGTTGAGTGCTGGTGTCGTGCACACAGCCATGTGATTGATCACCTGTGACTGGCTGTTCGCTAGCAGTGCCATCATTGGGTTTCATTTGAACAACCCTGGTAAATGTATGAAAGGTGTAAATAGGCAGATCAGTACCTCAGTTACCTGTTTTTATTTGCATAACTTTGAAGTAGTCAAGAATTCAGTGTCATCCTGTAAACTTTGTTCTGTTCAGTGAGTTCTTTCTGCTCAAGATATTGATCATAAACCAAGCATTGAGCATATAGTTGAAAGTGTTCTTTAGAAATGGCATTGTTTCCATTAATGTTCAGAAAGCGGGAATCTTATGTAGTGAGATATGACAAAGATCTCATTTGATTCCACTAATACATACATACACACATACAGTATTGTCTATGAAAGCAGAAATTTAAAGCCATGTTTACTGGTATGAAATCAATTGTAGTCTGTTGCCATTGTGTTAATAACATAATTTTGTTTCCTTAGAAACTAAAGAAATGTTTTGATGCTCAAGACATACCAATGCTACAGCAGGCAATTGCAAATATGCCTGAAGAGGATGCACGATACCATATGAAGCGTTGCATTGACTCTGGACTGTGGGTGCCTCAGAAGAATAGTAATGGTGATAAAGAAACTGAATGTGATGCAGAAGCCAGTGGAGAGTGAAAAAGGGGCCCATTATTCATGAACTGTAGACTGAACCATTCTAAAGATATAAAATAATTTTGTTGTGAACAATATTTAAATTACTTCACTTTTAAAGAGCTAAGACTTTCAAAAGCATAATGTAGTATCTGTACTTCTAATCCCAAGTTGTGTTATACAGTGAAACCTCTATCCATCGTTCCCGGAACTATCGTTTTCCCGGATGCATCGTCCGTTTTGTCCGGTCCCGGATACTTCCCATATAAAATAATGTTATATTTTCCCTCTTCTATCGTTCCTCGAACTATCGTTTTATCGCATCGATCGTTCAAAAATCTTAGTCCCGGCCCACAATTTTCCCGCAATGATCGTTTCTGAGAATTTAAAATGCTGGGTTTAGAGATAAATTAATACCGAAAGACGCATAATGTTTTTGGAATACGCAGTAGCCGTGACCTGTTATGTCGCCCAACCAGCACATTCTTTTGGAATGAGGGTCAGCGGTGCAGGGGTGATAGTTGGAGTGAATGGCGGTGC